CATCACTTGTTCGCGCTCATATGCTTACAATTTATACGCACAATATCCACATTATATGCTGTTAATTCTCCGTAAAGGAATTCAGTTTTTTGTTGCTCGCTTAAAATTCGTTCATCCTGTTTTCCTCTGTAAATCTTCATCAGCTGGTGTTTAGTACATCTTTTTTTGTTTGGTTGTTGCCTGAGTGAATCATAAGGGAAAATCGGATGTGTTTGAAAGGAATTTTGTGTGGAATCTGGAGAAGATAATGAGATTGAATTGTAGGGAAAGGGGCGATAAATGGGAAGTATTTTGCGTGGGTTCGTGTTGCCCTCGCTGCTCTTGACAGGTAATGAAAAAATCGAGATTTTTGTCTTCTGATGTGATGCGTGATTGCTTTTTGTTGGTTGAATTATGTATGGAAGCTGAATTGAAGCGTTCTCTAAGAGTTTGCTTACGTTTATGCTGCCCGATTGGTTTTTGTGAAGAGATTGAAGTTCGTTCTTGCTGCATTCCGTCCGTTTCGTGATGGAATTGATTATGTATGTAGAAATTGAAACGATGGAATGTATGATGCACGAAAACTGTTCATAATTGGTAAAAATTTCGAGAAAAAAAGGGTAGCGGTAATCGGTAAACATTAGCGTTGTTGCGAGTCGTGACATGCATTTGTTACTTAGTTTTATGCATGATTGTACATGTTTTATAGTGATAATGTGTGTGCGCTTGAATGTGTTTGCTTCCGCACTTTTGTATTACTCTTCTTAATTAATCATCGTGATATTTGCAGCCGGGCTACTGAATTGGAGCTTAATTTCTCTCGTTAATTTGGTGACTTCCCTTATTTTCCGGTTTACTGCTTCTAAAAGAGGTAGCATTTTTGTTCTGGAGTTGAATGCTCTACTTCTCCAGACTGACAGTTATCAGTTTTGACTTTGATTTTCATCTCCTCATTGTATCTGGTGTTCCTCGATAACTTGCCATATAAACAAGCATAATGACGACAATGACTTGTTTGCTTTAGTGTTTAAACTAACAGCACATTTCCCTCCTTCCCCTTTCCTTTTAATGCAGGATTTCAATTCAGAGGACGAGTCCTGTCATTATGGTTTGTGTTGGTATACTCGACATTTGTGATAATTTTGCAAATAATTTTCTGTATACAATGTGCTATGCAATGGAGCAATGTTGATGCTTGGTGGATAACTCTACTTGGACTTATGAAGTAAGACTTGCTTTATTTTCATTGCAAGGGTAGTCCCCCGTTCTTGAAATATCTAAGCTTTAACGCTATGGGTCCAGGCATTTTGTTTAGGATGTGGTTTTGAAATGACATCAGAAACCAATTGATCACATAGAGAGTTAAGCATGAATTTTTTTAATGTGAAATTAATTTGTAATATTCATATTATCCTCAATATTTTATCTTAATGGAGTAACATATTCTGAAAATTTTATATTTTGAAGAAAGTGTCAAAACTAATATTTCAAGCACTGCTCCTGTAGAAGAGGAATTGGCACTAACTTATACCAATAAGAGGGTTTCAAAGTTAAATGTTGAATAAATTCTTGCACAGTAGTCTGCTTAATTTTGGGTTGGGAATGACCACCTATTAAACTTGACATGCTTTTGCAGGGCTGACTCCTCGAGATCCCCAAAAATTATCTATTTTTTGATTATAGAACTACTAGCTGGAGTTTCTGCTCTCATTGAGATACACAGGAACAAATTTGGTTTGGTTGTATTTGGAGGTTATTTCTGGGGTTTTCGAGATTCTTTGTGGGGCTATCTGTCTTCGATTTTCAAACAAATAGGTTCGTCTAAGTTGACTATGACCCATACTTGTTGTATCTGCACATAAGCGAGGCATACTTCTTTTCAAGAATGTTGTAGGAGAGGATTTGCATTTATTACAATTAAATTGACATTATTTTACCTCATTTAGAGAGGACTTTGCATCAGCATTACCTGGAAATAATATTTCTTCAGTTTCTTACTATTTTCTTTTCCTTTTATTTTTATCCCATTTGTTTTGTTCCCCATTTTGTAAGGAAACATGAGTATGAAGAGAAACAAAGAGCAGCTATCTTATAGTAGCATGATGTCTGAGAAACAAAAGTAATAGTTCTATGCTACATTTAATGCTAGTTGTTCACTCATAAATTGTTGAGATTGATTTTCACTGGGAATAAGTACTTTTCTGGGGCATTATACTGCATTGCATAGACCAAGCTTTATGCATCATTTATGACAACTAATATCGAATTATGAATTCCTCGTGCATTACAATTCGTCAGAAACCTGGTCTATTTCTGGCAGTTTTCACATACTTTTATTTGCCTTTTGTGTGTATTTGTGGTTGCATATTGTTATCTCATGGACTTAATATCTTTTACCTTTTGTTTTTTTCCCTCAAATTGAAGGGTACCGTCTTAGGTTAGCTTCCTGCTTGTTGCTGCCCGCTGTTCAGTTGGTTTCGGGGATCAGCAATCCTTCTTGGCTATCTTTACCATTTTTTATCTGCAGCTGTGTTGGTCTAGTTGATTGGTCTTTGACCAGCAACTTTTTAGGTCTGTTCAGGTACTTCATCCTTTCAATAGTTATGGAGGTTTTTTGTTTCTTATGACAGACAATTTAACAAGTGAGAGGTTCACCAATTAAGTTTAATTGTTCATTTTTGCTAAACCAGATTTTATGTTCTTATGCATAATTTTTGAAGGTGGTGGAAGCCGCTCTGGGTATATGCTGGAATATGCATTTGCCTACTTTACATGAATCAGCTTCCTGTTGGGTTACCACAATTTTTCCAAGTGATATTAGACTCCATTGGCCTATACAAAATATCCATGGATTCTGACTGGCAACAAATTTGTTCTGGTACTTCTCTGATGGTGTTCTTTTATATGGTACGATTTTGTCACCTGGCCTTTACTTTCATTTGTTGGTCTATGATCCTACATAATACTAGCTTAGAAGCATTTACTTAAGCATTAACCTTTTTTCTTTTCCTTTGTCTCTGAAATTTCCTCTAAGGTTTCACTCCTGTCTTACAGTGCACATCAATCTTTTAATGCATAGTGGAAAATATCATTTTGTGAAAATAACGTCTTAAAGCTATATGCTTCTTGAGTGCTGCTCATGTAATTTGGGAATTTCAAGCTGTACTCATCTTCATTGATTTACTTGTTTTTGTTCTACACTTTTGGTCATGTGGACAAATGATTTTTCTGGTGAAAGTGAGACAGTGAAGAGACAGAATAAAAGTTTTTTAGTTAGAGATGTGAAAGAACATGTACAGTACAAAGAGTTTTCCATTCTACAAAAGATAATACACTGAGTTAGTGTTTGATTTTGACATACTGATTACTTTTACTGAAATATTTACGCAGTTGTCTTTAATAAAGCATGATTTAGAAGACATGGAATTCATCATGTCCATGAGAGAAGGCAGCTTGACTGAGCACCTTCTTCCTTCTAGGAATTCCTTTTTTGTTCGTCAGCTGAGGTGAGGCTGCTTGTTTTCTTAACTTCTGCTTACATGTATTTGACTCATTATTTAAGTGCATTCCTGTGCTATTTCTTCTGAACTAGGTAGTTATGGTGCACTTTGTAGATGTTTCCTATAGCTCAAGTTTCTTAGTTAGAATCAAAGAATTATTCTTAGTGGATTAATTAGAATTGAAAAATCTGTCATTCATAAGTTACATTGTTGTTTTAGCCCACCATTTATTTAGTCGTGCTTAATCTGTTATGGAATATTTTCAAATAAGTGACCTGTTCCTGTCACAATGAACGATCTCAGTTTAACCTAGTAAATGAAAAAGCGTTCGCAGAAGGACCCTTCCCCTAGACCAACATACCATATCTTGTGTAGTCATGTCACACTTCTATAAGTGTTTTTATTTGTTTATCCGGCCTGCAGGTCTGGTGTGAGGCATACTAACATACTATTAAGAGGCTCTGTTTTCAGGATTTTTAGCATCAACTGGTTTACTTATGGATTCCCGGTATGTGGTCAAAAGCTTGCAATTGTTGATGTTTGTGCAGATACTGGCATTCTAGCAATCCTTTTGAATGTGGATAGACCAAATATTTATTTGTTAATGGTTCTTGTTTTTAAACCTGTGCATTTATTTGCTTTACCTTGCTTATATTTTAAAGTTTCAGATGTAAATATGGCAGATATCCTTGTTTGCTCTTTCATATTGGAGCTTCCACTTTGCAAGTATCTGTGCATTTGGGTTACTTGCTTATGTGGGGTATATTTTATACGATTTCCCTTCATTGTTTCGTTTGCACCGGTTGAATGGGCTGCTTCTCGTCTTTATTCTCTTGTGGGCTGTCAGCACATATATCTTCAATGTGGCTTTTGCTTATGTAAACTGGAAGCTTGGAAAGGTACTTCTTGTCTTGTTAACATCCCTATTGAGTTTGGAATTCACGGTTTCGAGCAATGCTCATGATCTCCTTTCTACTTAGGATATGGAGATCTGGGAGACGGTGGGATTATGGCACTATCCAATCCCTGGTTTCTTCCTTCTCGCACAGTTCTGTCTTGGGATTCTTGTAGCTCTCGGGAATCTCGTTAACAATTCTGTATTTCTATGCTTATCAAATGAAGAAAGGCGATTCTCTTCCGAAAACGAGACTGAGGAAGGTAGTATATGCTTATTCCACCATTTGACAGTTTGAGATAAGCTGTGCTCGAAGGATAAATGGGGCCTTTGTTTTTTCTGCTTATGTTTATTTCATTTTCCATGTATCAATTGCAGTAAAAGAAGATCCCAAAGTCTTAGTAGTGGCTACTATTGCTTGGGGACTTCGCAAATGTTCTCGGGCCATTATGCTGCTTCTGATTTTCCTTATTGCTGCAAAACCTGGTTTCATTCATGCTATTTATAGTATGTAACACATCGACTTCATTATTTTATCACTCCCCTTTCCGAATAACCGTCGTTGAATAATAGGAACATGCTCTGCAATCTAATGCTTGCTCAATATTCTGATTGGTTGACAAGCTCTTGTTTTCCTTACAGTGGTATTCTTCTTTGCATATTTTTTGAGCCATAAAATCAGTAAAAGGATGCGTCAGTCCCTTATTCTTATGTGCGAAGCCCATTTCGCAATTATATATATTCTTCAGCTTAATCTGGTCTCTGGAAAGCTGGAACAGAAAGGCTCTGTGAGTTTGGATGTGCTATCACAGTTAGGTGTGGGTTTTATTGATTCCAAATTTCTTTCCTGTTTGGATAATCACTTCATTCAATAATTTTATCCAGCAGTTTTCCATTGTTTCACATATATTGTCCACTTGACTTGAAATATATGTAGGTCTCATTGAAAGTGATAGTTCTTGGGAGCTGATGGAGATCGCTCTGCTGGCATGCTTCTGTGCCATTCATAACCATGGGTTTGACATGTTGTTCTCGTTTTCTGCAATTGTTCAGCACACACCTTGTCCTCCAATTGGATTTAGCATCTTGAAAGCTGGTTTGAACAAGTCAGTTCTTTTGTCAGTTTATGCCACCTCCAACACCAGAGATGATTGTAAGAATCGTTCCCACGGTAATTAGTCTTGCCCAAATGTATTCGTAACTATATTAGTTCAAGACTTGATTTGGAGAGTATGTTGGTTAAATGTTCTCAGAAACTTTAAGAACATTAACCTTCTATATCTTTTTGGGTGAGAAAATCTGCTTGTCGTATCCCTATTTTTTCTCAGCAAATCAGAGTTATATGATAGTTTAGGTGGTTTGTAAAGTATTTCATCATGCACTTAATATCGTTTCCAATTTGCTGAATCCTGTCTTTTTCTTTCCTTTTGTTTTTCAGAAAGGAGAGTGGCACAATATCTGAGTGCTATTGGGAAAAAGTTCCTAACCATGTACAGATCATTTGGGCCTAATATTGCTTTTCTCACCATTCTTATAGCAGTGTACCTTATTAGGCCTAACTACATATCTTTCGGGTACATTTTCCTTCTCCTTGTCTGGATCATTGGAAGACAGCTAGTAGAGAGGACAAGAAGACGTCTATGGTTTCCACTCAAAGCATATGCAGTTGCTGTTTTTGTTTTTATTTACCTTTTAAGCATTTTCCCCACCTTCGAGACATGGATGGCCAAGAAAGTTGATCTTTGTGTATGCTTTGGATACAAAACTGAAGCTTCTTTGTTAGAAAATCTTCGGGAGTCTTTAGCAATAATGATCGTGATGCAACTTTATAGCTACGAGAGAAGACAAAGTGAATACTTGAAACCAGAAGATCCCGCTCCATTACAATTTGGAATAGTCGGGTTTATTAAACGGTTTCTGATCTGGCACAGTCAGAAGATTCTGTTTATTGCGTTGTTTTATGCATCGTTATCTCCTATAAGTGCATTTGGTTTCTTATATCTTCTTGGTCTCGTTTTCTGTTCAGCTTTGTCTAAAGCATCTAGAATCCCCTCAAAAGCATTCTTAATTTACACCGGGTTGCTGGTGGCAGCTGAATATCTATTTCAGATGTGGGGAAAACAGGCTAAAATGTTTCCCGGGCAGAAACATCACGATTTGTCTCTTTTCCTGGGCCTACAGGCATATGGACCAAGTTTTGAGGGCCTAGAAGCAGGCTTGAGGGCAAAAGTACTGGTGATTGCTGCATGTACTCTTCAGTATAATGTGTTCCGCTGGTTGGAAAAAATGCCTCGTTCTCTTTCAAACGTAGGTAGATCAGAGGAGCCTTGTCCATTATTTATTTCATCCGAAGATGATTTTGCTACTGTTCTAACTTCTGATGGGGATAGCCAGACACTATCTGAATCAAGTGAACTGTCTGCCCAGAGGACAGAGCATAGCAGCTCTTGGCCATCTTTCAGGCAGCATGTTTATCGGCCATCTCAGAATATATCCTCCCCTAGAAGCACTCCCGGTGGAAGCAGTAGAAAATATTCATTTCACTACATCTGGGGAACCATGAGAGAAAGTCACAAGTGGAATAAGAAAAGGATTGTTGCCTTGAGACAGGAGAGATATGAACTGCAGAAAACAACGCTAAAAATTTATTTGAAGTTTTGGATTGAAAATATGTTCAACCTCTTTGGCCTCGAGATCAATATGATAGCACTGCTACTTGCCAGTTTTGCTCTGTTGAATGCCATTTCTATGCTCTATATTGCATGTCTTGCTACGTGTGTTCTGTTGCCACGTCCAATCATCCGCAGACTGTGGCCGATATTTGTCTTTCTGTTTGCTACCATTCTACTTTCCGAGTACTTTGTGATGTGGAGGAGTTTGATGCCTTCACATAGCGGTGTTGCAACCAAGGCTAATACACATTGCCATGATTGCTGGAAAAATTCAAATTTATACTTCCCCTTCTGTGAAAAATGTTGGCTGGGTATGTATGTGTGCATATGCTTGTGATGATTTTCCTATTTGTTTTTAGTGTTAATTACAATTCTATGCAGTTTTGGGCATTTCAAAATTTACAAAAAAATTCAAAGTTTTTTTGTTTCAGAATAAGAACCCCTTGATGTATGAAAATGTACCTTTGAACGATAAACAACAACAACAACAACATACCCAGTATATTCCCAACAGGTTGGGGTCTGGGGGGTCAGTTGTACGCAGACCTTACCCTTGTAATTATACAAGGAGGGAGGTTGTTTCCGTAGCGACCCAAAGTGCATTGCGCCGTTTGATATATTTTTTTTTTCTAGAAACTTCACTAATAGAAGAAGCACTAGAATTTAATTGAGTCATTTTGATCTAGTCCATTATTAGCACTATGCCAGGAGAATTGTCAACAATGACTCTTCCAGCTCCATTTGCAATGGACAAACCTTTGAACGATAAATGTTTCATT